ATAAACGAGGCATTTGTTGCATCCAGTGGGGACATAATTACTGATTATAATGACTTATACTGTGTTTTTACGCGTTGTGTTGCATTGCATCGCGCCGCGTAAACATAAAACAATGTCTGCATTTGTGATCGGAGAAATGACAAACAACAAGCCCTACTCTACACATGCCCAAAAAACTCGCTTTAAATATAAAAAATATAAAATATAAAAAAACGTACTTAACGTGTGTCAGAACAGCCGGCATTGTAGTCTACTCTCCCAGGATCAGGAAGCGGTCCTCCATAAAATGTGCTGCACACATCTGAATATATCTGAATACATCGATTTGCACCCTCAAATAATGTTATTTCAATGATGAAAAATAGATCAAGATGGTCAATATCAATATTTCTTCAACTTAAATTAAACCATTTATTTAACATTTAATCAACATAGAAATATGATCAAACCAATCTTGATTTTTACTCTTTTCAATCAGAGAACATGCAGGACTGCAATTAATATGGTTTTGAATCAAAAAGTCACTCAAAGTAAACAACATCCTTCAGTTTACATGCAAATATTAATGTTGGCCCCCACATGATTTGAACAAACTATTTGAACAGGAAAATAGCATCACATTTAAGTAAAACAAGTAATTATTTTATTTAATGTTTTTGTCTCGTCGCTCCGGCCGGACACGGCATCACAGTGTGGTAAGGGGCGTAACACCAAATACACAAAATAATGTTCTTTTTAGCAACATCATATGACCCCTTTAAATTTCAACTTCAATGATAATTTGGTTGATGCATTAACAATTGATTCGATTCAATGTTGGCCTGCTATCTGGGAAGGGTCCTCTTCCTGAAGATACTCTTTTGTTCATTCCTCATCTTCTAAGATTACATTTTTATATGTGTTATGTATTTAAATACATATTTGAAAATGGTCGCTTTGCAATTGGACAAGGACGTTTTCGCCATAATAGCATATTGACCTCTGATTGGTCGTCATTTGCTACATTGCGATACTTACTTTAAATATTACTTTAAATATTTATACATTTCTCCTTTAAACTCCACAAACAGATGCCATGTATCAAGTTTCGTTTTCGTTTTTCCTTGTCGACAAAAATAAAATCATCTAAGAATCCATTAAAAACTTGTGGACCCAGTAGGACAGGTGGCTTGACAAGAGCTGCTCAAATCCCATCCTCCACCAACACCCAAGAAAGAGCCCCATCAAAATTAATAAACTGTCCATTACGTCAATATTGCTACATTAGAGTTTACCTGGTAATACCATAATCCAATTTTTATGCAAAATGATTTTCCACAATATTAGGATTATTATATTGATGTAGGTTTCCTTCTTGTGAGATCCTTTTTTTTATCATCTGACTTTATAGTAGCTGTTTAAAATTTTCTTTTTTATTTTTTGTAATTTGTAGTCCTCTCAAACTGCTGAAACTGTCAACAGTAATGTGCCTGATCTGATAACTTTTTCCAGAATCAAGAAATTAAAGACAATTCTTTCAGTTGAGTGTTCATGCTGAAAAACTGTAGTAAACTGCTAGATGTTAAATGTCCACATACAGTATCAATACTTGAGTCTATTTACTAAATGAAATTAACTTTCTAAAATGACATGATTAAAATGACATTTAACATACAATGTTTGATAAAGTCGCGTGGAAAACAGGCGTTCTTTTCATTTTTGTAATAAATGGATTTTCAAATGGATAAGAAAACACTCTACACAAAACTCTGTTAAAACATTTTAACAGTCATACAATTTATATAAAAGAAACTTGAGCTGACAAAGAACCTTTAACATTGGAATGAAGAAATCATAATCTAGATTGTCACACATTTCAAAGCTTTTTTTCTGATATAATACTGTTTGACTCATTCCTCTGCATCCTCCCACTCACAATCCATCTAATTTCTGAAAAGAAAATCAACCATGTGCTGCTGTTATAAGACAGTTGTGTGCAATATTTGCTCTGGTGATGATAATGTCCATGAGCTGATATGTACAAAGACTGTTTTCTATTGTAAATCACACACTCGTAGGCACAAACAACAGGACTTGGTTAAAAAAAAACAACATTGGCTTACGATTGGCAGGTGTGACCCAGACTTATCTTCACATCTTCAGACTTTCATTACACTCCTACATACATACAAACATATACTGATATAATCTAAGCAACTCTGAAAATGCAGAACAAGGCACTGGACACAGTGGAGAAACTGGCACATTGTGGACAAAGGCAAACAGACAAACATTTCCATTTTGAATTTGTTTTAGAAAGTTTCTGACAGGCAAGACATTAAAACACCATCTTCGCTAAAAGCTCTTTATCTTTTGAATATGTATTTTTTAATTAGAAATTGGTTTTAAACAAGGATCGATATTCAACCAGTGCAAATTATTAAAAGAATTTCAGAAAGGAAGAAAAAAAGAAGACAGGGAATGTTATTAGTCCTAGATTCATTTTTTTAAATGAACAGTTCACCCCAAACTCACAATTCTGTCATTATTTACTTCCTCTCATGTTACTTCCAACCCCTATGCTGTTTTTCTGTTCATGGGACACAAAAGGAGAAGTCTTTTGAAGCAATACATTAGTTTTGTGAGGAACAGACTAAAATTTAAGTCATTATTCACTGAATAGTCACTGGATCAGTCCAGTTAGTGAACAGATCGTTCATTTGAACTGGTTCTTTCTGGTGATTTGGTTGTTTTGTTCACGATTCAGTTCTAGAGTTCAGTTCACTTACACAATGATCCAGAACCAACAGCTCACTGAAGGAAAAGATTATTAGTAGATTAAAGCTTTAATTTTGGCCTCTTTCTCATACAAAGCTTTTTGTATGATTTCAGAAGACTTGGAATAGAGTATGTAGCTCTTCTGGAGGTATTTCTTTGTCATTTTTGGAGCTTGACAGACATTGTCACTATGAACTGTTGGTGTATGGAAAGAGCCACGTTAAGATCATTTTACTTTTGTGTTCCACAAAAACAAGGACATGAGTAAACAATGGCAGAATTATAATTTAGGTGTGAACTATTCCTTTAAGCACCCATTTACTCCTATACATAAGTGCATACAATTGTAGTACCATTGTTATCTAAATGTTAATAAATATCGGTGCAGGCTTGAGAACATCCTGGTTCACGTAACACGCCATGCCCTGTCACTAGAATCTAAAATTCAACCTGAATAGAAGTATTATTTAAACACTGTCTCTATGTCTGAGAAGGAACCGAGTGACAAAGTGTCACTCTCCAAAAGCGTCAGATGTAAGTTTAGACCATCAAGGCCTAGAAATCTACTTATATCTATGGAATAAAAATGCTCTTTTCACAATACAAATCTCAAGAGCCTTCTATTCACAATGTGTCAAATACAATGTGTGAAGTACAACTGGTGTACGATCTGGAAATGTAGAACTTGCATTGGATTTTCATCACATTACACTGGGTTTCATGTACTTTCAATTTAACTTGTCTTAAGGCTGAAATACACTACACAACTTGACAAATCTGAACAGATTTTTAAAATGCTAGGCATCATACTATTGTAAATAGTTACAGTGAAAACTGGGCATCATACACTAAACAACTGAGGATCACACACTACCAGACGTTCAAGTTGTTCAGAACACAACAAACTCACACAGAAATGTTTGACTTGTTGCTAGAAGATGCATGACAAACGAAAACAATATGTAAAATCTTTCAACTCAAATCTGCAGTACGGCTCTGACTTTTGGCAACTGCACTGACTCATCAGGGCACAAATCTGGGAAAAAGTTGCGTAGTGTATTCCAGTGTTTACTCACAAATAAATACTAAGTGAGGTTGTTAACAGTGACGCCAATTTCTCTGTAGGTCCAAAAATGTGATTTTTCGTTTCCTGATCGCACAGTGACAACATGGGTGAAATGAGGGTGACTTCCACATGGTTTGTGCTTTCAAAAGTCCACAGATTAAGATACACCATGCCGCACTTTACATTATCATCCTTCAAGTGTGAGAAGTCAGTCAACATTTAGCAATCTATCATCAATCAACCTGTGTTAAAGTGATCAAAATGGCTTTCGAAAACATCTGTGCAAACAAGTGTGGCAGAACAAAAGTGTACCATGTGTGCTATGTTATAATCTCTTGTTATAGAGGCTGTGCTCCATAATCAAAAATCTGTACAACTTCTGCAAGGTTCATGACGATCTGTGCTTTAAAAACTATGACCGGTGCCTCTAGAAGGAGCCGGGGTCAAAATGTCTCTGAGTCCGAGTCGTTTTCAGTGGTCGTGCCCTCGCTGGAGGGGCGGGAGGGGTCCCTTGGACTGTGGGGGCCTTGGGGGCTCTTGGCCTGGCGGGGCAGAGATTTCAGCAGGGCACCTGGCGAAGGAGCTCCAGAGCTGCAAGGGGAGCAGAAAGGCATCATGATAGCCAGAATGAGAGCCAGGCAGTCAGCCACTTCCCTGCTGGGAGCACAAGCCAGAGCAGGGGTGAGACCTGCGGGGAAAGACAGCCAAAGAGCGAGAGAGACAGGAAAGGGGACAGGAAAGCAGAAAGAGGTGAAAGGAGGGATGGAGCAGTGGAACAAAAGGACAGTGGTGGGGAGGTGATGGACGAAAGCACCATTCCATTAGTGCCTCGCTAGATAGGCAGCCAAACACATGGTCAGTCAGGGGGCAAAAGGGCACATGCATGCCACTGTCAAAGCTTTGAAACACAGCTACTGCTTTGGCAAAAGCCTCTATGTCACTAACAAAAGAAGAAGAATACAGAGACAGACATAGAGCGATTCACATACACTGACAATCTAAATCTGCAGGGATTTTAGTTTCAGGAAGGCGCACCATTCTCATCTAGTACTTGAACGCTGGCCCCACGAGAGAGCAGCTCTTGCACTGTCTGCTTCATCCCACTGCGAGCAGCCAAATGGAGAGGTCTGGGGAAGTGAACGAGAAACAAGTGAGCATCAGTTGCTTCTTCAATCATTTATAAGAACATGGCACAAGCAACATCATGGGTTCGAATCCCAGGGAATGCATGAAGTGATAAAATGTATTCCTTAAATGCAATGCAAGGCAAGTTGCTTTGGATAAAAGCATCTGTCAAAATGCATAAATGTAAATATAATATGCAATCTACTGTAATGTGAAGGGGAACTCACGTTTGCAGTGCAGCGTTGGTAGCAACGAGGGCAGAGTCTGGAAGTTTTCCGAGAATGAGCAATGCACATTCCTCCATTCCCTGGACAGAGAGCAAGCAGAAAAAAAAAACAAGAAAATCATCTTTAGAAGACCTCAGGTAATAGATTAATAAAAACATTCAAAAATACTGTTTGCAATGTGGGTTTTTATATCTGGCACAATTTTATTGTTTGATAATTATATGAAGTATTAAAACCCTATGACTACAGTCACACATAGGTGTCTGCATTACTTAAGTGGAAATTTTAAAATTTTTCTGTTTTTGAAAAGGCCAAATTATTATAATAAACATCAATAAAATATGATTTTGGGGTGAGTAGATATAAAGAAAACCTTTGTTTCAGTGAACTATATAGTTGATCATTTCTTTGTAAAACAAAACTAATAGTAAAGGGTGCCATTTTGTCAGTGGCATTTTGACAAAATGACAAATTTTGATTATGACAAATTCTAAAAATGATTATGAAAGATCACTGCACTACTGATGAAATTATGAAAAAGTAGAGACTGATGACCACGGCATGCAATGGGCTATACTTACATTACTGCAGGCTAGATGGAGGGCTGTATTGCCCTTCTGGTCAGTTAGATTGAGGTTCACGTTGGCAACAGTAAGTAAAGCTTCTGTTTAAAACACGCCACACTTTGCATAAGTGCATTCAGTTGAGTACATTTTCAAATGAACAGAGGCATAATGCAAATAAAAGGCATGAAAATGTTTTGAATACATACCTACAACCTCAACCCTTCCTTTCTCCGCTGCCATAATCAGGGCACTGCGCCCTGATTGGTCAACCTCATCCACAGATGCATTATGGGCCAAGAGCAGCTGAACACAGTCTACGTGGCCAGCGAATGCAGCTGCATGGAGAGGTGTCCTGATAAATAGAGACAGCAGTTTTTAATAGATGTTTTCACTGATAGCTATGAAAGCAATGCTAATGATGAACATAAAAAAAAAAATTTAAAAACGTACACTGGTCTGTTTCTCAGGACTATCTTAACTTTTCCTAGCCAGATTAGTAATGACATTTAACTGTGTGTATGACGGTGTATGAAGTCAGCTCTCAAGTTCTCAAACGTGTATATAAATATAGATTTTATTTTAAAAATAATTTTGTAACCACTGTAGGTACAAATCTACAATTTTATTCTAATCTGTTTTGTCTTTCTTGACATATACCAAACTAACCTGCCCTTGGAGTCTTTGCCAGTTACAATCTTTGATCCCATGGCTTCTAATAAAAGGTTGGCACAGGTCTCATGGTCATTGACCCTGCAGGACAGAGGATTCAAAGTTGAAACAGAGAAAAAAAAAGTGCAAAAGAAGACAGGGATGAAGAAAACGATCTCACAGCAGACATACACAGCACAGTGCAGCGGGGTGAAGGGGTTCCCATCAAAGTGACGAAAATCTCTTTGTTCGAGTAGGACCTCCACACAACCCTCATGACCTAGAACACATACACACACAATGCTAGTCCACTATACTTCACAAAAGCTACATTCCGTTTACTGATTCCGTCTTTTTAAACTCATAATGGAGACTGTTAAAACCAACCATAGTAACAGGCCCAGTGTAAGGGTGTGTATCCCTGGTTGTCTCGGAATGGGGGTATCGGGGGTTCAGAACATGCAATATTGAGCAATTCGCTCAACCAGGATGCGTGACCCCTCGCCGCAGCCAGGTGGATAGCTGTCCGACCCTTGGAGTCCCCCAGCAGCACGGATGCCTCCAGCTCCAACAGGGACTGAACACATTCCTCCTGTCCACACAAGAGCTGAGAGAGAGAGTTTAAAAAAACTGTCCTTGTACATCTTGCACTTGAATATGTTTGGCAAGATCAGGAAACTCACCCCTAGGTGCAGAGCAGTCAGACCTTGATGATCAGACAAGTCCACACTGGCCTCACGTTCCAATAGAAGAGACACAGCATCCACATGACCCCCCATTACTGCCAGCATTAGAGGGGTCCTGCAGACACAAACACACATAGAACGAATACCCATTAACCCGTTAATCACGTGCAAGAATCTCAAGTGTGTATAGATGGTTAATTTCAATAAGCCGTTATTAAATCAATCAATAAGCTTCCCACATGTCCATGGGTACATTTTTCTCATAGCTTGGGCAAAATTAATATTAAATCAATTAGGGTGTTGATTCATTTTATTATTAGTATTTGTATGAAGTGTGTTCAGGTTTGATTTTGGCACACTAATCGAGATCCTCAATATTTATTTATCGTAGAAAAATAGTTATATGCATTTTAAAATTCATTAGTTGCATAGTAATTAAAAAACAATTAACTAAATGTTGTCAGCAACTTTTTATGGGTAACAATTGGGTAACTTCATTTTTTTTTTTTGACTGTATTTAATTATTTCAGCTTGCCAAGCTACAATACCCATAAGTTGAGAAGTAATAATACATGACACACTCATTCCACTCCAAAATCTTTGTGGCATTATAATGAAAGATTTTTAGAGTTATTAAATTAACTACTCACTGTCCCTGAGAGTCCGCTGTATCTACCAGATCTGCATTATCAGAGTCTTCCAGCAGGAGGTGCACACATGATGTATGACCATTCATTACTGGATACAAACAAGAGTGTATTAAATACTGCATAAAAATGTACAACTGTGTAATTTCCACCACACACAGATGTAATACCTGCAAGATGGATAGGTGTACGTCCTCTGAGAGTATCTTTGCTTCTCGGCGAGGTCCCATGGTTCAGAAGAGTGAGAGCACAGTCAGTGTGGCCCCTGAGGGCAGCAAGAGCTAATGGAGTCCGGCCCACCTCATCCCCCTGATCCACCTCGCAGTGACCCTCCAAGAGTACTTCTAGAGCCTGTGCTTGACCGTGGTACGCCTGGAAACAAACATATACCTATATAAAGGTGTAAGACCAACTGTCTGAAAATGTCTTTCACATATTTCAGTGAGGTTAGGGCCTGTCTGTAGTAATTAAACCTTGTAGTATTAAAAACATGCAAGCTGTGTTTTCTTATGCAAAAGTTGGCTTCAGGATGCTAAGGTGTTCTCGGTGGTAGCCAGGGTATTGATATAGTGTTATGATTTGTTTTTAGCATGTTGTTATGTGGCTGTTAGGATGTGGTTGTAAAGGTGTAAATTTGGACTCACGGCCAGATGCAATGGGCTTCTGGTTTGGCTTTTCTCCATCTCATCTTGTTGGTTCTCATCTCTGTCCAAAAGCTGAAATCAGTTTTAATCTGAATTACAGCTGTTCTCATTAAACTCAAAAAAAAAAAAAAAAAAAAAGCTATTCTGAATTAAGCTGGAACAAATTCATTCTTGCACGATAAACATGTGCAGTGCACCAGCAGGTGGTGTACAATAGGTTCAACAGACAGCGAGCACATCATTTTACGACATGACTGGACTACCACAAACTGGACTAAATTAATTTGCATGTTAAGTTACACATTTAAATCTACAGTAGAGACAGTAGAGTACAGATGGAGGAAGTGCCCTGAGGCACTCACTGGACATATTTGTGTCCTCACCAGTTTCAGACAGTGTCTGTGGCCATACGCTGCAGCATAATGAACGGCACTGTAGCCTTGTTTATCTTTGAGTGATGGGGCGGCACCATGCTGCAACAGGAACTCGAGACACCTGCACACACAAATATAAAATATGAATATTGAAATATATTCAAATACACACACACACACACACACACCATAAAAAATTAAACTAGAAAAAGTACAAAAAAGATCATGTAAAATTATTATAAGTGGAGAGAGGGAAAATACATTTAGTTTGTCCCAGACATGAAATGATGAGGTTACAGACGCACACAGACACAAACACCCAATGTTTTGGCATCAGAGCAGGACACGTGTAAACAGCACGAGTGACGGTGAGACAAGGAGGGGGGACACAGAATTGAGGCTGAGCAGACGTGGGCCGTTCTGCTCTTCAACTCCAGAGAACTCACAGAGCTGCCTCCTTCTCCCTCTCAGCTTGAACTCCGTCACTCTCTGGTTCCAGGACCACACGCCGCCTGCAGAAAAATCACACACACCTCACAAATCTTATACACAGATGCTTCTTACGCAACAATAACTCTTAACAATTTTTTTTAAAGTTGTAAACAAAATTGTATTACCATTAAATGAATATTTTGGAATTCATATTTGTTTTATTATGAACTATTCATATTTTGTAATTAATAATAATACATGAGAGTAAATATTTACATAATTCAATAGTTTAATAATAATTTTATATGTTACATGCAATAAGTCTGTGGTATCTGGGTATAAATTAAATTAATTATGGTTACCGTCTCATTACTCATTCACAAAATTCTTTGTGCCGGTGAATTCTGGCAACTAATCTAATTAAACTAAGCAAAAAGGTGTTTCCGTATGCCATATCAAGTCGACGTCAAACACTTTTGTCTTTGCACATAAACTACCCCAATGATAGGAGACTTAAAAATAGCCTGTGGTTGCCATGGTAACACAGATATATGTGTTAGTGTAGCTGCTAGCAGTCTCTGGAGATGGGGACTGACACCGCACTCGATTTCACCTGCTGTAGGACTACAGCTGCCTGTGTCTAAATCACTTAATCGGGTTAGACATGCATTTACAATGGTCAATTACATGTTGTTCACAACTAGCTCCATTTCTGCACTGTAAACTATTCATGTGGGGATATTTTGACCACCAGTCAAGGCGTTTTTCACTCCACCATCCCACCGCTAAAACTACGATTAGGTTGAAGGATGGTTTAGACTTATGAGCTGCAGATTTTTCCAATGAAACCCCTCGTAATATCTTGCTGCAATATAAGTCTATTAGTGTAAATGATGAGATGTTTATTTTTGCAAACTGAAGGACAAATCCACTTTTTAATTGAATCTTTAAACTTTATAAAGAATGGAGGAGAAAATCACAGATGTTGCCGTTTGTGTAAATGTTGTGTACCTCCTGTCCAGGTCAGAAGCAGCAGCGTAGTGCACAGCAGAGCGCCCCCACTGGTCAGTGGCATTAATGCAGGTTCCGCAGGACACCAAAGTCTCCAGGCACTGAAAGTGTTGACTAGCTGCCGCATAGTGGAGAGGGGTCCTGTCAACACCCACAACAAAAGAGAGGGGGGGAAAAAAGGATTTGACAAAAAATTAAGAAGGTTTCAGTTTCAGAGTACAAACAAATTCTACAAACTAAACAGCTGAGAAAATGTAAAATACAAAATCTGAAAATGCAAAGAAATCTGAATATATGTGGTTGAAATGTTACTATTCGCCAAAAGGATGACAAAGTTTTCCATTAATCTAGCATTTTAAAAAGCTTAACAATTAAAATATTATTTTGACTTGATGCTTAACAAATCTTTAAAAAAACATGGTAACGTTGAAAAAAATGGAAAGAAAATTTGTGATTTTAGAAAAATTGACTCACTGTTCCTGAATGCACTGAATAGCACAGATATATTTAGTACTGAATGTTTATTAGCACAACTCCAGCTGAGGAGAGCACAGACATGCAAAATGAATAAAAAATTATCCTGATGTAAATGTCTTGCTTTTACCAAGAACTCACCTTCCATGCTTGTCCCTGCGGTTATGATCAGCTCCACTGCTGAGCAATAGCTTCACACATTCCACATTACTGACAGAGAGAGAGATGATAAAAAAAATTTAAAAATAAATTAAAAAAAAACCTTGCCATGAGCACGAGTATGAGGACAGATAACAGGTCCAACAATACCTGTATTTGTCTAAACAATGGACGATAAGGTAGTCATTAGTTTATGTATTGTATTCATACATAATTGGGTATTGTATTTCGGTATATATAACTTCATGACTTCTACATTTTGTATCACAATCCACATGATACAACTGCAGTTGTAAAAAGTCCAATCAGAAACAGAATAAGTAGACAGACCACCTGTAAGAACATCACAATACTCAATATAAAGTCACACCATTAAAAGGTCCAGTCTCCTTATTGGTAAAAACTCTGTATCAGTCTATTTCTCTACAATATGAATGCACACATTAAATATACAGTTTTTAAGTTTGATTTCAGCTAAGCTAAACACACACACACACACACATATATATATACACATATATGTATTTAGCTTAGCTGAAATATAAATATATGTGTGAA